TTTCCCAGTTCTATGCTGGGTTACTATCTGGGAATCCCTTTGGCCACCCTGGCCAACAACTCAAAAGAAGGTATCGCCTGTCTGGTTGTTGCTTATTATGTAGCCTTTAGCTATACATATGGACCAAAGATTAAAGGGGCCAATGTGATTTCATAAGAGTCCATATGTATATGTAAACTTTTAAGAAACTTTTTTTCCAATTTCTTTGTCCTTGTTCATGATTAGAAGATATATGAACCTAAAATAATACCAAAGTGTTCCAATGATGAATATTAATCTCAACAATCATTTCACTTTCAATGACTATGTTTGATAATGGATAAGAACCAATCTATGTAATTATAATAAAAATAAAGAAATTGTAGTTAATTTACTTATTATTTTGCCCTCCTCCATTTCTCTGCTATCATGTACTTTGTGCAATGATGAGCCCTCCGGTAACAAGCTACAAAGGTGACAGTGCTAGTTCATGCCTTAGAAGGATGAGCAAACACACTACCTTTCTCAGGCCAAGGAGGCCATGACCCTGGGGCTCAGTGTTCTTGTGTGGTATACCACATGCAAAGACAATGAAATTCACCCCCAGAGTTCCATTATAACTGTCATAAAAAGAAATATTATTTGTTTGCCAGAATTTTAATTGTAATCCAGGAGAAAATTCTTCCTGATTATGCCAACTCAAATGAAAATAGATCCTCTATAATTTGAATAATATTCTAAATGTTTCTGTACCTGTTATAAGTTCATTTCACACAATGAATCAATAAGTTCTGTTTTATAACCCATTTATCTAGCATATCTGTTACTTCCAAAAGGACAGAAGATAGCTTCAGATCCCCTGTAACTGGAGTTATGGATGGTTGCTAGCCACCATGTGGGTCCTAGGATTTGAAACTGTGTCTTCTGCAAGAACAGCCAGTGCTCTTAAATGCTGAGCCATCCCTCCATCCCCTCCAATTAATTTTTAATGTTGCTTTATTGGAAAAATAGTTATTAAGAAGATATTTTAAAGATATCACTAAATCATAATTAAATTGCATTGACACCTCTTGGAGGCATTGTCTCACTGTTGATTCAGTGAAATAGGGATGTGTGTGGTGAGCTTCAAGTGGCATTAGCCTATGATAAAAATTTATAAAGGAGATTCTAAGCATGGTTCTGATGGACTTTGATGATAAATTTTTGGTGTTTCATATCAAAAAGATAAATGAATACTATTTTAGCCATGTCTCTTAATGTTAACTTGCTGATCTGAGCCCAGACAGGGTTAAGAGTAGAAAGCTCTGAACACAGAGTAGGGTCGATAGTCCTAAGATGACCATGGAATCATCTCCTGGTATTTTTTCTTCCTATATGATAGCCACGTGGTGATTCGTTCCTAACTAGAATAATAGGACAGTCACCGCAGAGATTATGTGGCACTGCTTCACTTCTGCCAGCAAACCCTCCTGAGTGTAACTCTTGACTACGCTGATGGTAGCTATGGGGTGGTCTAGTGGTCCAGATGGAAAGAAACTAAAGGTTATATTTGACCACCAGCTTGCAAAGATCTGGTGCCCCTCAATCCGGTATATCAAAAGAAACCAATCTGAAAAGGAATCCTTGAGTTTGGAAGTGGAGGCCTAGTTGAACAGTACACCAAGGTTTTATATCAACCTCAGAGACCATATCCCTAGACAAATCCTTCAGTTCTAACATAAGTAAAACACTTGAAGATGAAAAGAATATGTTGTGTTAGTTTTTGCTATTTTAACTGCATAATCAATAATTAATATATGAAATCAATGACAATTTAAGAATGAATTAAAAGTGTATAATATATGAAATCAATGACAAT